ATCAGTGATATTCTTTTTTTCTTCATATTGAGTCCTTATGGCCTTTCTTGAACTCCATTGATGTTTCTATCTCTCTCTCCCCCTCCCTTCCTCTCTGAAATCAATATAAATATATTTTAAAACAAACAAACAAACAAATAAAAAAAAGTGTCAGCCAGTCCCTTTTTACCCACCAGATTTATCCTCTATTAAAAAAAAAATCAATATAGCCCTGGCTGGCATGGCTCAGTTGGTTGGAGCATCCTTTGGTACACCAAAAGATGGCAGGTTCGATCAGGGCACATTTCCAGGGCACATTTCCAGTACCCAGTCAGGGCACATGCAGGAGGCAGCCCATCAATGTTTCTCTTTCATCTCTCTCTCTCTCTCTCTCTCTCTCCTCTCTCTCTCTCTCTCTCCTCTCTCTTCTCTCCTCTCTCCTCTCCCTCTCTTCCTATCTAAAAATAAATAAAATAATCAATATAGATATGACAACAATGCAAAATGTGATCCTGTACTAGGATCTGTCTATATTTGTCTACCTTCCTATCTACCTATCTATCACTATAAAAGACATAAGTGAGATAATTACTAAAATTTGAATAAAGTCTATAGATCACACAGTAATACTATAGTAATGTTAATTTCCTTATATTGATAATTATGCTGTGGTTATATGAGACTATCCCTGTTTTCAAGAAATCTAGGAGTAAAAGGGCATTATGTCTGTAATTATTTTTAAATGGTTTAGGAAAAAATAATATGTGTACATATATATAGAGAGAATAATAACAGAAACTTGATAAAATGTTTTTGTCTTTTGTGAAATCTGGGTGAAAGATATATGGGAATTCTTTGTACTATTTATGCAACTTTTCTCTAAGTCTAAAATTATTTCAAAATGAAGTTAAAAAAATAAAAGTAACACACGTTTGTTACAAAAAAATTAAAGCAGCCCTGGCCAGGTAGCTCAGTTGGTTACAGCGTCCTCTCATATGCCAAGGTTGTGGGTTTGATTTCCAATCAGGAAGCAACCAATGAATGCATACATAAGTGGAACAGCAAATCTCTTTCTCTCTCTATCTCTCCCTCTCTCTTCCTCTCTCCCACTCCCTCTCTTCCTCTTCCTTCCTCTTCCTCTGTCTCTAAAAGCAATAACAACAAAATTTTTTAGAAATTAGACAGTATGACAGTGTATATGTCTAATGCAGCGGTTCTCAACCTGTGGGTCGAATTGTTTTTATCTCTCTCTCCCCTTCCCTTCTTCTCTGAAATCAATATAAATTGACCCCTTTGGCGGTCGAAGACCCTTTCACAGGGGTCGCCTAAGACCATCCTGCATATCAGATATTTACATTACCATTCATAACAGTAGCAACATTACAGTTATGAAGTAGCAACGAAAATAATTTTATGGTTGGGTCACAACATGAGGAACTGTATTTAAAGGGCCAGAAGGTTGAGAACCACTGGTCTAATGTAAAGGACCTCAGTACTCCTGCTCTGGGATGTCCACTGTTATCTAATTTATAAGATAGTTCCTTTTTTTCTATAAAGCAAACGTATTTCTCTCTTAACAGAAATAGGGTTCTATTTCACAGAAAATTTCTTGGCATTTCTCCTCATTTAGTCTCTTGCCCATTTCTTTACCTACAAATTTATTTATTTTTAGCAGCAATATAGCATTTTATGTAGAATTCACTCTGTTCTCTGTGGTCTTCAAACTCCCATTTCTGTGCTCTTTCAGTCGTGCCCTCCAGCCTGTGAGTTCCCTGTTTCTCAGGCTTCTTTCCTATAAATGGTAATAACTACCCTTCCTATTTCACAGTTGTCAGGATAAAATGAGATAATATGAAAGCATTTGGAAAAGTTACAAGTGTAATATAAGTGAAGGTGTGGTTGGATATTGAAGATGTGACTCATAACACTTTATTTATGAAATTTCTGATACTTATACAAAATTAACATAGTTTTTTAGAGCCTGTGGGTTGTTTTATTTCTCTTGATGTATTTCTTAACCTCTCTCCATCCCAAACCCCATGGAGTTCACACTGTTGAAAGTATTTTTGAAGCAGAAATTGTCCAGTTGCATTAGGTTATAATACCTGTCCTTGATATCTCTGTAGTCTACATAATCTTTTATAAAAGTACTATACCACACAATTGTTAAAACCTTTTATAGTGACCCATTCTAGGTTTATTTTTCCTTTTAAATTGGACATACTTCACACTGATAGATTTGTTGTCATATATATTGTATGTATATGTATGAGTTTGTGTGTATGTATGTGTAAATGTGTAATTGACTCTAGAAAGGTTCTCTTTGCAGTCTGCCGGAGGCTTAAAATAGAAAAGAGAAATATGGAATAGCTTGGGTCTTCTCAGGCTGCTTCTCTTTTCTGGATTTTACACAAGGATGTGGTTGCAGAATGCAGCACTAGTTTTAGTCCAATTCATCTGGAGACTCAGACACAACTTTCTGCAGTCCACCATTTTACTGTATTAGAAATTAAGACAACAATGTAAAACAATTATTAGTTTATATAAAAATAACAACAAATCTATGAGAAGAGTAATGTTTTATATTTTTGCAGATTTCTTTAATGTTAGGATTAATAGAAGACACTTTGAGAACCCTTACTTAGTCAGAACCAGTGGCAGGTAGGCCAACTGGAGTGTTAGTTCGGCATCCAGAACAAGGCTGATTAGATTCATTTCTTCCTAAAGAAGAATAATCAGAATAGATTGGTAGCAGGTGGTTGGTAATCCTTCAGGCAGAATCTGTATTTGTTATCTTTGTTCATGTTGCTTTGTTAGGCACCCTTCCCAGTCACCTATGCATCATCTCTCCCTCTACCTTCATTGTAAGTGTACTTTGATAAAAGCCCTCCTGGCAGTTCTAAACACTCTATGCGTTGCAGATCAGTTGTTCAACAAGTATTTGTTAAGCTCCTGCAGCGTGCATGGTACTGTGCTGGGCACTGAGGATAAAGCAGGGAACAAAATGGGCAGCTCCTCTGCTCTTGTGGACTTTACATTTAAACTGTTAATTACACAGAATATTATTTAATTATAACTCTGATTAACTATTCTTATGGCACAGCATGTGATGTGAGCATATAATCGGGTAACTATTTTTGCTTCGGGGTCAGGGAGGGCTTTGTTGAAGCGATGCTTCTGTGTGTGCTGAAGGATGAGGAGTAATGAAAGTGTACCTCGTAATTTAAATTGTACTTAGGTAGGGATTTTCTTTGTGACTTAGAAAGAAATGTAGAAAAATGGAAGATTTAACCCTGAACAATCTGAATGTTCCCAGTTAAGGGAAGTACAACTACCAGTTTGGAGATAAGTCTGATTATCTGAGCAGATCCCTGTCTTCTTTTTCAGACATTGTGGATTTCAGTGGAAGTTCCATGACAACGAGAAGTTTATACTGTAGACCAGTACTTCTCAAATTTTATTTATTTATTTAAAATTTTTATTAATTGCTTAGAGAGAGAGCGAGAGACAGAGACAGAGAAAGAGAGATTTGTTGTTTCACTTATTTATGCATTCACTAGGTGCTTCTTGTATGTACCCTGACTGGCGATTGAACCAGCAACCTTGGCGTATCAGGATGACATTCTAATAAACTGAGCTACCTGGCCAGGGCCTCAAATTTTAATGTATGCACAAATGGCTTAGAGAATCTGGTTCAAATACAGGCTTAGATTAAATAGACCCGGGGTAGGCCCTGAAATACTGCTTTTCTTAAAAGCTCATACATGATGCTGGTGCTGCTGTTCATGGACCACACTTGGAGTAGCAAGACTATGTTTACACATTATAAGACTTAAACAGGAATACCAGTTGAATAAGAGGCTGGATGAATATTCGAGAGGTGATGCCCGATAGGGAGAGATATTTGATAACAGAAGACAAAACCGTTTGGTGTAAGAAGTTATCTTGCTACCACAGAAAGCTAAAAGCACTTCACAGTTGCTATTACAGAGGACGGGAAAGCTAGGGATTGAGATAAATGTCCACTAGCACAGCCAGTGAAGTATTCCACAGAGTCATTTCTGTCGTGAGGACCGAGTGAACTAAATGGTCATTAGTCTGCCGAGGGAAAAGGTCAGGCACTGAGGATTGATGGCCACCCCGTGGTGATTATGTGGACTCTAAAAATGATCTGTGACAAGCAACTAAAGATACTAGAATGGAAGGTACACTTGACTTGGAAAAAGAACATTAATACTACTTTTTGTTATTCATAGATGATTAATCCATAGAGTGAGGGTACTGCTAAATAGATTTAGGTTAAAAAAAAGTTTCAAATGGCAAAGATAGAAATAAAATGGGGAAAAGGGGAATCCTGTAGTTAATATCCAGTTTGAAAGAATCACCACCATTAAGCCTATTAATTGCACATGTCTTTTTTTTATTTCTCTGGCACCCAAAATAGAAGCTTATAAGACTGTCAAAAGACATCACTGGTCTGCCCTTCTTTCATATGTTATTATGGGAAATATTTTTTGTTATAGTTATGCTTTTAAATTTTTTTCAAGATGTTTTATAGTTCTTAGTAAATTTATTTGGATCAGAGAATTAAAGTAACATCAAGTTAGCATGTTATATTATGAACTGTATGTATAAAGTATTTTCTATTTAATCACATTTTTTTCGTGGTTTATTTTTCTAAGAATATGTCCATTTCGTCTAGGTTGTCCAGTTTGTTGGAGTAGAGTTGTTCATAGTATTTTTTTACTTCACCTCTTTCATTTCTGATTTTGTTTATTTGGGTTCTCTTTGTTTCTTGGTGAGCCTGGCTAGAGGTTCATCAATCTTGTTTATCCTTTCAAAGAACCAGCTCTTGGTTTTATTGATCTTTTGTATTGTGTTTTTTTTGTCTCTGTGTTATTTATTTCCGCTCTGATCTTTATTATTTTCTTCTTTCTGCTTACTCCAGGCTTTTCTTGTTGCTCTGTTTGTAATTTTTTAAGTTGGAGGTTAGATAATTTATTACCATTTTTTCTTGTTTTTTGAGGTAGGTCTGTAGAGCTATGAACTTCCCTCTCAGGACTGCTTTCACTGTGTCCCACAGATTTTGGTTCTTTGTGGTTTAAAAGAAATATTTAAGTTATAATGACTTAAAATCCTGTCTAATTTTCTCACCCTTTAGAATGTCATGTTTTTGGATTTGGCAAAATTATATGACTTTCAGTACATTTAAAGAAAGGAATTAGGGATTCTACAGTAATGAGCAGTCGTTTTAGGTTACTTGTCTTTTAACTTTTGTATATTAACCTATAGAAGGACAATAGACATAATTTACTAATAAAGAGGACTAAGAGAATACCGAATCAGGCAACTATCATAAACTTTTTAAAACCCTCTAAGACTGAATTCGTAGAATTCAAGATTCATTCTAGAGTAAAATCAACTTTGTCAATTAGATTGCTTCTTGACTTTTAGACGCAGGCCCACCTAAAAGGGGAGACTGAGAAAAGCTGAGGGTATGGCATATGTTTGTAAAAAATCAACTTTCCTTCTAAACTGACTCAGTAAGAACTGGGTGTCAAGGAACATCAAAGGTATGCGAGTCTTTGTTTGAAAAGAAATGAAATATGTAAAAGGGGATCCCCTTGAAGTTACTGAGTTGAAAAAAAGTAGTCACTGTAACAAAGATGATCATTTTTGTGTTGCCTTAGGTTTAAATGATTGAGTATTTTAAAAGTGTTCAATAGGCTGCCATTCTATGGATGATGCTGTAGTGGCATGGAGTGTTGCCGGTCAGACTGGGATCCTGCCGTGCTTGGGAGCATGTGGGGCAGGAACAGTTGGTAGTACTCTACCTTTTCCACCTGGAGAATAGTCTGACTAGAGACATGATGAGGTACAGCTACATTCCAAAGGCAGCCCATGGAAAAAACGATTCATCAGAGAAGTAAATACATTTCCATGCTATTTCTTTTTTTTTAATATGTTTTTATTGATTTTTTTTTAAGAGAGAGGAAGAAAGAGAGATAGAAACATTGATGAGAGAGAAACATCAATCAGCTACCTCCTGCATGTGCCCAAACCCAGGCATGAGCCCTGACTAGGAATCGAGCCGGTGACCTCTTGTTTGATGGGTCGATGCTCAACCACGGAGACACACCAGCCAGGCAATTTCCATGCTGTTTCTTAAATGCCTTCAAAACATGGACGAACGGCTATTATTTCTTCTTTAAAACCTAGAAACAAGAAAAAAAAAAGCCTTTCAGTTTTAAAGCCAAGTAGCTTGGCAATCTAGTAGCAAACTATATTTGTGCTCCTGAATGCTTGCATGATTCACTTGTTCCTTCTAATAAAATATGCCTTGCTTTCCCCTGAATCAGTGATGGGGTTTAATGGGTGAGAGTGAGGGCCCTGTTCTCATCTGGCTAACGTGACTCTAGTGAAATGAAACTATAAGGCTGGGTTTAGAATTCAAGCCTGTGTTCTTCTGGTTTACCTTGGGTTCCTCTATTCTGCAGTAAACCTCTTAGTTGAAATTTACTATCAAGCCCAAAAGGTCTACCAAGAATTAGTATTAGAAATTGACCCTAGTTGCAAATTATGGATATCATTATGGTACTGTATTATTGAGGGTCGTATGTGTCTGTTCTTGACATCTTTCCCTGTATAGCTTCAGAGGGCACAGAAAGAGTCCTCAATGGTGGATCCTGGTTTTGTTGTTTCCTCCAGAGGTATATACTTTTTTGTATCTTACTTTATTTCAAATTTATTTCTTAAAAGTCTTGATTTTTGTTGTTACTGGTATATATTCAAACAGCTAATTTAATCATGGCATTATTGGAATATTTGTATTGCAAAACACCATGCAAAGCTCTAGGCCAGTGGTTCTCAACCTGTGGGTCGCGACCCCTTCGGCAGTTGAATGACCCTTTCACAGGGGTCGCCTAAGACCATCCTGCATATCAGATATGTACATGACGATTCATAACAGTAGCAACATGACAGTTACGAAGTAGCAATGAAAATAATTCTATGGCTGGGTCACCACATGAGGAGCTGTATTTAAGGGCCGGAAGGTGGAGAACCACTGCCCTAGGCCAAGTCAAAGTGAGTTTTATCTCCAATCGGTATATTTTTTAAAGCCTTTTAAAAAATCCTCACCCAGAGGTACATTTTATTGATTTTTAGAAAGAGAGGAAGGGGGAGGGAGTGGAGGGACGCAGGGAGGTTCGGGGGCTGGGGGAGAGGTGTGTGTGTGCGTGAGAGAGAAACATCCATCGGTTGCCTCCTGTACCTGTCACGACCAGGGATTAAACCCGAAATCTACATATGTGCCCTGATTGGGAACTGAACCTGCAGCCTTTTGGTGTATGGACTGATGCTCCAATCAACCCAGCCAGGGCTAGAAAACCTTTTTTTTAAAAATACCTAAATTTAACCTGCTCTAGAATTGGGTTAAGGACCTAGAATTGGGGGTTTATTTATGGGTAGAATCTGAAGGCTTCCATTATCTATTATACAGTTAATGAACTGGCAGAATGGACATGAAAAATATATTTTTTAAGCCATGCCCTTACCTTGTTTTGAGCTCTGCAGTGGTTAGATATGTGTTCTGACTGGCTTATCAGAGTATGTTTCTATTTAACGGAAGTCCAGAGGGAACTGGGAGCACACATTTACAGAGCAAGGCCGGGACACTTCAGGGTTTTTTCTTTAATGTATGCTTTCTTGTGCCCTCACAGCCCTTAGTGTTGGCATCTGCTCCCTAAGTTGGTTTCTGGCTCTTTTGGGAAGTCATTTGTTTTTTAAGGATTTATTGAATAAAACCTGTTCTATTTTTATTACAGCATTTTACATGTTCAGTGACATTTGTTAATATGATAGCAAATCTGTAAAGCCACTAGAACCAAACAAAGGTCACTTCAAAGTACCCAGCTTACGAAGAATGGAGCAGCCATATCCCTAGGAAATTATCAAAGCCAAGCTCAGTTGCCATGGCAAGTCATTTGTTTTTAATTTGGTTAATGCAGATGAAAACTACATAGGGAGGCAAGAGGAGAAATGGGGGGAAAGACAGAATTCTTCAAGCATGTAGGGATGTGCATAAACAATTTCAAAGACTTCATACAGGTGTAGAGTGGTAGGAAAACAGCAAATGTGAAGCCTTCAGCAGCTTGAAAGCTGTTATTTTGAGAGTTGCGGTATTTGAAGGCAGACAGCACATTTTAAAATAATGGTGAAATTTAATTTTTTCCCACCTTACATGGAATTAAGCATAATTTGGTCATCATTTTATTTTGATAGTTGTGGGTCTCCGAATGAATACCAGAGCTTTGAAATTTTAGATGGCCCACGGCAACATCTCCGTTGTTTTCATGGTATATGAAGATATTTTTTGTCTCTTTTAAGCAAAACAGTGCATTTTTCTCTTTCTAGTTCCTCACAAATGACTGTGAATTAATTATTTATTTTTATATTTTGCAGTACATTTTTATACCTGAAATTTCTGGTAGTGTGGGCACTTGTCCTCCTGGCAGATTTTGTCCTGGAGTTCAGATTTGAATACCTGTGGCCGTTTTGGCTTTTCATCAGAAGCGTCTATGATTCCTTCAGATACCAGGGACTGGTATGTTTATTAATACGTTTTTCAAGTATAATGAATTTAATAACCCTTCCAAGAAAATCTTCAATAACTGGTAATGAAACTGTTTAAAGTAGATTTTATTAGTAATACTTAGGGGACTGTACTGAGCTAAATAGAGTCCATGAACTGACTCTAAGGCTATTTTGTTAAACCCATTGATCAAATTAATAATCCCTCCTCCTCTACCATTGCAGTGAAAAGAAGGGGAGGGAAGGAGGACTCCCGGAGGGAGGCAGAGTAGTGGAGGAAGAGTAGTTACCCCCGTCCTACTCTAAAATGTTTCTGGAGCCCCTGTCACTGTGTTGGTGATTGGCTTAGAGTTAGAGCAGTGCTTCTCAAACTTTATGGTTTCAGAACCTGTTTACATCCTTAAAAATTATTGAGGACTCCAAAGAGCTTTTATTTATGAGGGTTACATTAATCCATATTTATTATATTAGAAATTAAAACAAAAACTTAAGTATTTATTAATTCACTTAAAAATAATAACAAACTTATTACCTATTAATACAAATTACATTTTTAAATGAAAAATAAATATATTTTCCAAAACAAAAAAAATTGGAAGATCGACTACAGTTTTGCAAATTATATAATGTCTGGCTTAATGGAAGACAGCTGGATTTTCATATTTGCTTCTGAACTCATTCGATTGCAATATCACATATCATGTAGCTTCTGGAAAACGCCACCATACCCTTGAGTGAATGAGTGTGGAAAAGACAGATAACATCTTAGTATTATTATGAAAACAGTTTTGACCTGGAAGACTTGCTGAAAGACCCCTAGAGATCCCCAGACCATGTGTTGAGAATTGCTGGTTTAGAGCAAGGGCACAGGTCTTATAGTTCTGTTGTGTTCCATAGCCACATCTTAAACTTATAACTCTCTCTACCTGGGCATGGTGCTTTGGTCAAAGCAAATCTGTGCCTTGAAAAGATGGTTTTGAGCTCATGTCCCATTGGTAATAGGTAGAAGTGTGTCCTAAGGAAAGCTGTGTTAGTAAAATCACTAACATCACCATAATTCTTATTATTTAGTTTGGTTCATATGTGCTCCAGCAACCTACCCTTTAAGAATGAGGCTCTTTAGGAATGCATTGTAAGGAGAGAGGAGATTTTTCGGTGTTAAAATGCTAGTTCTTTTAGTAACCTACCTGTGGAGTCCAAGTGAACTCACTTGAACCAACCTCAATTTGTTTTAGTCCAGTTCTTCATGATTTGAGGCCATAAACAGGATTACTCTTTACCATTAAATTAACACTACTTTTTATATGGTTGATTTTAAATGTTTAAAATTTCCTGTTACAACTTGCTCTGTAGTTATTGCGTGGCATTTTCAGAGATTTTGTCCAACATATTTTTAATAATCTCTGTTTGAAAATAACAGGTTCTAAGAGGTGTTTCTTATTTTGTTTTGTTTTTCCCTTTAGGCCTTCTCAGTGTTTTTTGTTTGTGTAGCATTCACGTCAAATATCATATGTCTGCTGTTCATCCCCATACAATGGCTTTTTTTTGCTGCTAGCACATATGTATGGGTTCAGTACGTATGGCACACAGGTAAGTCTTAATGATTTCTTAGATGGACAAAAATCTTAGATTCAGACTTCTTAAATGTGATTAATCTTTAAATAAATTATTTAGAGTTCAGTTTAATGTAGACATTTTAAAGTTGTCTTTTCCTAATAGATTGTAATATACCTTTAAAATATATTTTATTTTTTCATTATTAAATCAAAAGTTTAAGCCTTTATGACTTGATATCTCGATTGTTACTGCTGTCATCATCATTTTGTTGTTGTTGTTTTGTTAATCCTCACCTGAGGATATTTTTCCATTGATTTTTCAGAGAGAGAAGAAGGGAGAGGGAGAGACAGGAAGAGAGAGACATTGATTGGCTGCCTCCCACAGGCGCCCCAACCAGGGCTGGGTATCGAGCCCACAACCAAGGCATGCACCTTTGACTAGAATGGAACCTGGGACTCTTCAGTCTGAGGGTGACACTCTATCCAGTGAACCAAATTGGCCAGGGCTCTAATCATCATTTTTTTTTTTAAAGTCAAAGTGATTCCTATTTAGGTAGACTTGAAGACAGCTATGTGCCAAATAGGAAAAATGTTCTGGGAGTTTCAGCATTGAAAGGAAGTCAGAGGTCATTTAGTTGAAGCCTTATTTGGTATAGCATTCCTCACACATGGTATTTAGTCTCTGTCTGAAAACCTATAGTGACAAGGCACTTACTAGTACTACTGTTGTTTTGGGGCATCTGTAATAGAAAATTCTTTCTCATACTGAGCCAGAATTTTCTTCCTTATATTTTTGACCTAGTACGTCTTAACTGTTTTTGGACTTACTGATCTGACTTAGAGGATATAAATTTTAAATTTCATTAAAATTTCCGGGGAGCTGCAGGTCATCTCCTCAAGGCCAAATATTGGACCTCCTTGCATTAGAGCCACACTGAATAGGTGTAACCTCCATCCACATTAATATTTCTTTAGAGAGTTAAAGACACTGTCATATCCTCTCAAGTCTTCTTTTCTGGAGGTAAAACATCTCTGGTTTCATCAGCTTTTCCTTGTGTGTTATTTTAAGCACTTCATCATCCTAATCTCCGTAGTTCTTAGTGGGTTTTTTTTTTTTTTTTAAGAATTCTTATCCTTTTTTTAATGTTTTTATTGATTTTAGAGAGAAGAAGGGAGAGGGAGAGGGATAGAAACATCAGTGATGAGAGATAATCATTCATCGGCTGCCTCCTGCACGCCCCACACTGGGAATCGAGCCCGCAACTTGGGCATGTGCCCTAACAGGGAACAAACCATGACCTCCTAGGTCAGTGATGGCGAACCTTTTGAGCTTGGCATGTCAGCATTTTGAAAACCCTAACTTAACTCTGGTGCCGTGTCACATATAGAAATTTTTTGATATTTGCAACCATAGTAAAACAAAGATTTATATTTTTGATACTTATTTTATATATTTAAATGCCATTTAACAAAGAAAAATCAACCAAAAAAATGAGTTCGCGTGTCACCTCTGACACGCATGTCATAGGTTCGCTATCACTGTCCTAGGTCATGGGTTGACACTCAACCACTGAGCCACACCAATGAGGCCTTAGTAGTTCTTTTAACCAAAATGTATTGTTTCAGGTATGTTCTCACTTGAAGTTACACAGTCACCTCCCTTCTTCTTACTGATATTTCAAATTAAGATGAAATGAGATGTTTTGACAGTTCCACTCCATTGTCAGAGACTGAACATCAGATGCATAGGGATGTGATCATTTAACTTATCTGCAAAGCTGCCTGAAACTTGATTCTTAGGACCCGCTGCAACCTGTGGGATTTTGACCACTTAGGGAACACCAGCTAATAAAAGCTCTCTGGAGCAACATTCATCCTCTTCTCAAAGCTGCTAAGAGGGTGGTGCTGGCCCATGTAGAAGACGCAGTTCAGCTCTGTTACTTAAAGTATCCATCATGAGCATGGTTTTATCCATCTCTATCTTCATCACTCCTTCATATATGACTTGCTTTATAAGCTAGCATGATGGTTTCTGAGTGTGCTTTCCTCTAATTAAAGAGATTTTCCTACACACCAGTTTTTCCTTGTATTTCCTTGGCTTGGGCCTGTTTCGAGTGAGTTACCATTTACAGTAGTCACTGTCTCTAGGTCTCAGTTTATTCTTTGTCATATGAAAGTGGAGTAATCTAGATAATGTTTAAGGGAGCCTTCCAGCTCAGATAATCTGTGACTCTGATGAACTATAATGATTTCCTAAATTACTTTAATAATGTCTCAGTAGTTAAGAAAAAACTACGCATATAACTATTAATAGAATCTACTGGGAACGAGTTTGGTGGGTGACCCACAGGGCAGCAATGAAGCTAATGTCATAAGTGATACTGGCCTCTCTTTAGCCCTAGGCTCAGAAATGTATGTCGGAATAGCTAAGCTGCTAAGTATGTTTTAATTAGGAATGATTGGAGCTCAAACAAACAAACAAAACAACTCTGTGTTACTATTGGGCCTAACAAACATGAGTGCAGTTTATGTAACTTGGGATTAATTTTTCCCCAGTTGTTAAAATGTAAAATTCTTTCTTAAGAATATTAGGAATGGTTGATGAAATTATATATTGCCACAAAAGAATATTATATTATAATCTTTTCCCCTTGCTGTTAAAAGGGGGGGAATAGGATACAAAATTGTATGTACAACATGACTGTTGTTCAAAAATATTTTCAACATAATTTTATTTTATTATTTGATAGGTTTAGAAATACAGATATTTTGTCCAAATTTTTCTATTTTTTTCTGTAATGTAATTTTTTTATTATATTTAT